TGTCGGGTGGGATCTACAGCAGACATGATAGCATATAAAGCCCGAAAGTTAGCTTCTTCTGCTTGTTTTTCATCATCAGTCCAAACACCCCTTGGTTTTTCGACCAGAACTTTAGTACCCGAGGACGACTTTCCATCCGAGGGCTCGCCTTCCTTGGTTTCAGCGGGAACTTTTTCCATGAGTGGTGCCTTCCAACCAGATTCAACGGCCTGCCACGTGCCTTTGCCAAGAGACCGAAGAAAGATCACCATCATTGATTTCCAGTAAGCGTAATTGGAGCCATCAAGGAACGGAGGGCGTGAGACAGACATCCCATCATGACTCATGGTGACCAACACACAGTCCCAAAGATCGTTATCCCGTAGTTAGAACAGAAACACTGCTCTGGTTCCAATTGAAACTTATATTTATCACGGAGTGAGCTAAGTGTAGTACGAACTCAAACAGGAATTGTAAAATGCGGAAGCAATTAGACCGAAGATATAAAAACTCTTCAGAGAAGCATCCCACTTCCCCTTAGAGCTCTTTCATTGATAAATCGTATAAAAACATAGTTTGGACTTACATGACTCGAACTCCCTTCTAGTCTAGCCAACACTATTCATGATCCTATCAACTAATTTTCCAGCCACGTCCCGTGGACTTTATAACCTACACTTACTCCCTAAGTGTAAAAGTACAAAAATAGTTTGAATGAAGTTATGAAAAACAAACTAAAACAGATTCTGTTCTTGAGTGCGTAAGAACCCTCGAACTGAACTGTGTACAAAACTGAACTTAAAAAAATATCAAGCTCGAATATTGCTTTAAAGATTATCAATCTTCTCAGCAGCCGCAATATGAGTTTCTTGTAGGGTATTTAAATGATCTCCTTAGGTTAGAGTCTTCTCCAAGACACAGGTCTCTTTGTATGATTTCCTTCCATAAATGTAGCACAAGTTTGGTAAGTGAATCTCCTATTCTCTCTCCTTGATCTCCTTAACATGCACGCCTCTTTCTCCTTTATTTCTCTCAAGTCCGATTTCCTATAATATAAAATACCATAATAAGATCCCCACAATCTTATATATGGAATACAAAATAAACTCAAGTAAGGAAATAAAATAATTAAAGATCTTCCCTTTTTCTATGGTTCCAGGTGCTTGTTCGAACCATCGAACTAATGCCAACAATTATATCTTTCACCAGGTTTACAAAAAAAAAAACCTTCCACAAACCTCAATAAAAAAAATAAAAAAAAAATACAATGCAAGTATGAAAATAACAAGAGTGGGTTGCACGTCCTTCTCTATCTTTCAGTAAAGTTGGCGCGTGTATGAATATCTGTCAATTCGCGTGGGAGGTGGCTGGCCCACAACTGACACTCTCACTTTACCCATTTTCACAAATTTTTCCATTTCCATGTTTCATTTATTTATTGTTTGTGGTCTCTTTTTTTTTTTTTCTAATTTCTTTTATGATTTATCCTTTATTTTATTTTTTATTATAATGCTTTTTATATATATTTTACAATGTTATTTGTGCATTATAAATTTCTAGTACCAAATTTTATAACGTGTTCCAAATAATTTCAATATGTATATTTTTTTATACATTTATCAATGATATATATTGATTAATAAAAATAATTAATGAACTTCTATTCTGAAATATGAATAAAAATATGAACGTAAGATTAATAAAAATAATTAAAAATATTTTTGAAATATGAATAAAAATATTTGTATACAATTTAAATTAAAGTAAGTAAAAAATGTGTGGGCTCCATAAAAAGTAGGTTTATGAAACTTATTGTTATTTCATAAAATTTTCTATTTCTTATCTATTTTTATTTTTTAATAAAATTTCTGAAATTTTTATATTTTACAATTTTATATTACTTATAATTATACATTATTTCAAAAAATTTATGATAAATATTGGTAAAATTTAAATTGATTGAAATAAGAAAGAGTTGCATTATAAAATGAGATTGTAAAATTTGAATAAAATGATTATGTGTTCACATTAAATAACAAAATCTGATATTATTTTGAAATGTGTGCCTAAAGATAATTTTAATTACTAATACTTTTAATATATTTTTATTAATTTAAATGTAGTAAAATATTGTGTTGTCACACATCAAAAATAAAAGTTGATAATCTTATTTAATTGCATTTGTCAATTTGCATATGTCATTCAATTTGCATAAGAAAATATTATGTTGTCAATTTGCATTTGTCAATATGTGCCCATTGTATTTATCAGAATTGCGTAAATAATGTTTTTCTTTGAGTGATGTGCCCATAATTGATTTATGCTCATCATCTTTTGCAGAAACTCCACAATTGAATTATGTCCATCATCTTCTTTTGTAGAAGCTCCATAGTTGAATTATTTCCATCCTTTTGCAGAAGCTTTTCAGAGGTGCCCACAATTATGACCATCATCTTTTGCAGAAAGTTTCCAGAGGTCCTTTGTACCCATTTTTTAGTATAACATCAACTTGCAATACGAATGGTCTATAAATTTAGTTGTTTAGTATGATGTTATGCACTACATTTTCATCACTTTCATAAAGAAAATAAAAATAAATCATACACCTCTCTATCTTATATTTCTCTGAATTTGTAATGGATAACAATCCATACAGATCCAACCCAAATATGCCAAACTCATCGGAGAATGACAATCTGTCTTCTGTAAATTCACGTTATACGCGAAATATGCAATTTACTCAATTTCCTAGAATGCAACTACAATCTCAATTTCAAAATTTTCCTTTTCAAGTACCCGCACCAGTGCCTTCTTATCCAATTTCACAGACTTCAGAGCAACCTTCTTTTCCTCCATCACCAAATTTAATGAACATGAATCAATCTCAGTATATGTGGTCATTGCCGCCTCAATATGGCATTCCAAATGCATTTGGGATGCCTTATCAACAAGGAAATTTCATGGCAACCGGATTCTCTAGTAGCCCCATTGAAGTCCCAAGACCTTGCACGACCCCGGAGGTTGAAGGACTCGACAACATTTGTCTTGATACAAATTCAGAAAAAGGAAAAGAAGTTGAGCCTAAAAGACGCAGTAAAGCAAAAGCAATGCCGTGGACACATGAGGAGGATGTTTTACTATGTCAAGCTTTTTGTACCATCTCAAGTGATCCGGTCATTGGCGCTCAACAAACATCTGAAGTTTTTTGGAGGCAAATTACACAGTACTATAATGAAGCTAGTCAAGCAAGAAACCTTATTCAGAGAACTATAGAGTCAACAAAATCTCATTTTTATGTTTTTCACGGAGATTGCCTCAAATTTAATGCATCAATAAATAGGTTTCGAGCTGATCAAATAAGTGATGAAAATGATGCAATTGTTTTGCAGAATGCTTTAATGGAGTGGAATAGTGAAGGAAAAAAGAAAGGAGGCTTTAAATGGCTTCATTGTTGGGAGGTTTTGAAAAAAAAAATGCCAAATTTTATGGGGCATCTCAGACATCTCCAGGAGGAAAGAAAGCTACAATATCTGACACTAGGGATCACACTTCTGGTTCTGGGCAAGATGTTGAGCCTAGCGGTGATGTTGAGGAAAGGTATGTGCGTCGACCAATTAGCCAAAAAGCAGCAAAGGCGGGGAAGAGAAAAGGAAAAACAACTGCAGGAGGAAGCACCGGTCCAGGTGTTGAACGTCTGTTGACCGAGATTGGTGAGGTTAAAAAAATTCATTTGAAGAAACAAAAAGATCTGGAAAAGCTAGTTCGTATAGAGTCATGGAAGACGTACAGAGAAATGCTAAAGGAGGATACTTCAACCATGACATAAGAAGAATTGCAGGCCCATCAGGGACTTCTTGCTGTGCTTAAAGAAGAACTAAGTCTCAAATGATTTTTTATGTTGTTTGGAGATTTTAGCGTTCTATAATTTGAGTTGTGTTTATCTTAGCTATTATGTATTACATTAAATTTTATTGAACAATGTTTGTTGGTGTTTGTTCTAATTTGAAAAAAGCTCGTTTTTCTACTTGTTTTTTAACAACAAATCTAAAATAATGTCAGTTTTATTTTACCAAAAATAATGTACATATTATCAGGCGGTACATCGCTTATATTATTGGTTCGCCGACCACATTTAATTAATTACACACTATACGCTTTCACCTACCACACTAATACCTAACACACCACCCACTACAATATAATATTAATCACATTATTACTTAAACACATCACACTTGCCACCTACTACAATAATATCTAACACAAGTTAACCTAACACAAACACTTCTCACTATAAATACCATAGTATCATCAACTCCACAACCACATCCAAAAACCTCTTTCAATTTCTTGTTACTTATTTCTTCTCATCAACTCCACAACCACAAACGCAACCTCTTTCCTTTCTTTCTTCACAAACATAAAAATTTTTTACTTCTCCAAAATGACTAGCCGTAATAATGCTAGAGTCTCATATCGTGCTTTCTTGAACGAAATGCTTGACGATTTTTTGGAGAAAGCTAAATTTGCCTTGATGGAGGCCACAACTATGGAATTGCAGCAAGTTGGGCAAGATGAAAGTTCAACTAGGCGTGAAAGACTAGAAGTGCCTCGAAATCGTGAAGCTGGACATTCGCTACTGATAAGAGATTATTTTGCTCCCGATCCCATATACCACGAAGGATACTTTCGTAGTAGATTCCGTATGTCTAGACGATTATTTTGTCTGATCGTTTAGGATGTCGAAGGCCACTCTGATTATTTTAAGTATGGATCAGATGCAGTACGAAGACCAGGTTTTACACCAATCCAAAACTGTACTGCGGCTATACGTCAACTAGCGTACGGAGCTCCTGCCGGTCAATGTGACGAATACCTTCGTATGTCAGAGCAGACGGAGAATCAAAGTCTGATCGAGATTTTTCATGCTGTGCGAGAAATATATACACCCCAATATTTGCACCCCCCAAATGCCAATGACATCCAAAGAATACTTGCATTACACAAAGAGAAACATGGCTTTCCTGGCATGTTAGAAAGTCTAGATTGTATGCACTGGGAGTGGAAAAATTGTCCAGTTAGATGGCAAGGCTCGTACACTCGAGGGGATCATGGGGTACCCACGATTATGCTTGAAGCAGTGGCATCACAAGACTTATGGATCTGGCACGCATTTTTTGGGCTCGCGGAATCACGAAATGATATAAATGTACTACACGAATCTCCAGTATTTAATGATGTTTTACATGGTGTAGCTCCAGAGGTCAATTTTGTGGTTAACGGGACTCAATACACGAAAGGATACTACTTGACAGACGGTATCTATCCAGAGTGGGCTACATTTGTCAAAAGCTTTCAATGTCCAGCGGATCCAAAAAGGAAAAAATTCAAGCAAAGGCAAGAGGCTGCAAGAAAAGACGTTGAGCGTGCTTTTGGGGTCCTCCAGTCAAGGTGGGAAATTGTACGAGGTCCTTCTCGTTTTTGGTATAAAGAAGATCTTAGTGAAATTATGTTAGCGTGTATCATTTTACATAACATGATAATCGAGGACGAAGGCGAAGAAGCTACCAACTGGTGTAATGATGAATTGGAACCACCAGCGCTGGCGCATCAAGGTGTGTCTTCAAATTTTCGACGCTACTTGCGGATAACAGCTGAGGTACAAGACAGACAAATCCATCATCAACTTCGACACGACTTGATTGAGCACATTTGGAATGAATCTATGTCCCAAGATTAATATTTAGAAAAGATTTGTACTCAAAATTTAATTTTCAACATTATGTAAGTTCTAGTTTCGTATTTTTTATAAGTAAATCTATACATTCGTTCGTACTTAACATTATATAATTATAAATAATGCAATATAATTTTATATAAGTGTATTATTTTTATATATATATATTTTTTTGATAAATATATGATGTATTTACATTTAATAAAAATAAATAATAGAGTTATAGTTTTAATATATATATATATTACACACAATAATTATTTAATAATATTAATAATCATTTAAACAATTAGACATTTAATATTTTATAATAATAATAATATTAATAATGATAGCAATTAGGCATTTAAGTAATTAATAATATTTAGACAATCAATAACAATAAGGCAATTAACAACAATTAAACAAATAACAAAACAACAATAATAATAATAATTAATAATAATAATAATAATAATAATAATAATAATAATAATAATAATAATAATAATAATAAATAATAGAGTTATAGTTTTAATATATTAATAAAAATATAAGAGTGTAATATGAAATAAAAGTAAGTGAGAGACATGTGGGACCCATAAAAAATGAGGTTTATGGGGTTTATGGTTATTGGAGGGTTATGAATGTAGGAGTAAGGATGATGTTTTGGATGATGTGGCATGTTGGGAAATGTAAAAGTGAGGTTTATGGAGGTTTATATAGTTGTATGGCTAAAGATGCTCTTAGGGCATCTTAAGTGGCAGGTTTGTGAAAGGTTTAAAAACATAAACCTGCCAGGTTTATGACTATTTTGAAGAGGTTTGAGGTTTGATTTTTTAAACTAGGTTTACAAAACAAAACCTTCCACAAACCTCAATAAAAAAAAAAAAAAATACAATGCAAGTATGAAAATAACGAGAGTGGGCTGCACGTCATCCTCTACCTTTCACTAAAGCTGGCGCGTGTATGAATATCTGTCAATTCGCGTGGGAGGTGGCTGGCCCACAACTGACACTCTCACTTTACCCATTTTCACGAATTTTTCCATTTCAATGTTTCATTTATTTATTGTTTGTGGTCTCTTTTTTTTTTAATTTCTTTTATGATTTATCCTTTATTTTTATTTTTTATTGTAATGCTTTTTATATATTTTACAATGTTATTTGTGCAATTATAAATTTCTAGTACCAAATTTTATAACGTGTTCCAAATACTTTCAATATGTATATTTTTTTATACATTTATCAATGATATGTATTGATTAATAAAAATTATTAATGAAGTTCTATTTTGAAATATGAATAAAAATACGAATGTAAGATTAATAAAAATAATAAAAAAAAATTGAAATATGAATAAAAATATGTGTGTACAATTTTAATTAAAGTAAGTAAAAGATGTGTGGGCTCCATAAAAAGTAGGTTTATGAAACTTATTGTTATTTCATAAAATTTTCTATTTTTTATCTATTTATATTTTTAATAAAATTTCCTAATTTTTGTATTTTATAATTTTATATTACTTATAATTATACATTATTTCAAAAAATTTACGATAACTATTGGTAACATTTAAATTGATTGAAATAAGAAAGAGTTGCATTATAAATGAGATTGTAAAATTTGAATAAAATGATTGTGTGTTCACATTAAATAACAAAATCTGATATTATTTTGAAATGTGTGCCTAAAGATAATTTTAATTACTAATACTTTTAATATATTTTTATTAATTTAAATGTAGTAAAATATTGTGTTGTCACACATCAAAAATAAAAGCTGACAATCTTATTTAATTGCATTTGTCAATTCGCATCTGTCATTCAATTTGCATAAAAAAAATATCGTGTTGTCAATTTGCATTTGTCAATATGTGCCCACTGTTTTTATCAGAATTGCGTAAATAATGTTTTTTCTTTGAGTGATGTGCCCATAATTGATTTATGTCCATCATCTTTTGCAGAAACTCTATAATTGAATTATATCCATCATCTTCTTTTGCAGAAGCTCCATAATTGAATTATTTCCATCCTTTTGCAGAAACTTTTCAGAGGTGCCCACAATTATGACCATCATCTTTTGCAGAAAGTTTCCAGAGGTCCTTTGTACCCATTTTTTAGTATAACATCAACTTGCAATACGAATGGTCTATAAATTAAGTTGTTTAGTATAATGTTATGCACTACATTTTCAGCACTTTCATAAAAAAAATAAAAATAAATCATACACCTCTCTATCTTATATTTCTATGAACTAGTGTGTATCCCGTGCGATGCACGGGAACAATATTAAATTAACAATATTATAAAGAGACCTCCAGTATGAGTCACTCAATGACGGAAGTGGAAACTACTATTGATCCTATTTAAAAAGAGGAAGAAAAAATAATTATAAATTAAAGAGGAGGATAAACAATACTTAATAATTATAAATTAAAGATTTAGAATTAAACAATGTAAAATTATTTTGTATAAGAGAATATAAATTTTACATTATTTTATATAAGAGAATATAAAATTTGTATGTTTAATATGAAAAACACCTAAAATATTATATTAGTATATGTAAAAGTATTCAAATTTTCTATATTATTATTGAAAGATATGAAGTCACTTACAACTTTTCTAAACAATTTTAGAAGGAAAACATATCTAAAAAATTTGAATTTAACATTGTGTAAAAAAAAAAATTTAGATTATTTTGTAAAGAAAAGATGTCTACAAATATTTAAATTTAATATCAATATCAATTATGTATATGTGTATATGTTTATATATATGTATGTATATATAGACGAATATGTAAAAAAAATGTCTAAACAATTTGTTTAAAGTATCTAAAATATTATAAGCCTAATTTAATAAACACATTAAGTCAGATAATACCGAATTTATTGCGCTACTTCTATCCAAAAAAAAAAAAATTGATTACACAAAATTTCAAGATTATTATTATTTTTGTACGTTGTTATCGAGGATGTATT